TGTAGGAATTTAAGAATAAACTATTTATGGCAGTTATATAGGGTAATATAGCTAAAATTGGGCAATAAGTACAGTCGAGCAAGAAAAGGCTTGAATCTGGTCAACGATATCATATATCACACCACGTATAGGCATTGCATGCGTAGATGAATTTTCATGCATTTACAACTGGTAACATCGCCGGATCTGGAAGGCAGGTTAATCAGGTGAACTTGCAGGTTTTCGGTCGCAGTTGCATCCGCTTTAGACTTCATTATAATTTGCCTACATATATGAAGTGAAAACACCTCAAAACAAATCATGGGATATCTCACTAGGACGAAGAGTCAGGCTGTAAGCAGTAAATGATTTGCAGCTGGCCACATTTCTTGTCTTAGTTCTGGGGGAATTATCATAATGGATAGAGTCCTGCTTTTATTATGACTGTTTCATAACATATGAAATCCCAGGGTGGATTAAGAGAGCTCGGAGAACGATGTGCAGAATAGTCGTTAGTACAAATCCATAATTACACATTTGAAGGCAATCGACAGGCTTCTGAGGCGTCCAATTTACAAATTCCTTCCACTCACCTCTTCGAACTCACTGAATACTACATTAAAATGATATATTAAGTTAGACTCCGAAACCCAGCTTCTTTTTGTATCTTCCCTCAAGAAACCTCCTTAAACTCTTACTTTAAATCATCTTCTCCCTAGTTCTAACAGCATAGCTGTTATCTGGCGTTGTTTGGCTTGAGTATGCCTTTTTTTCTTTGATGTTTCTAACATTATATGTTAAACATAATTTGTATTTATATTTATATTTTATCATTTTAATGAAATCAATTGATTCAGCTTTATTTTTTATTATATTTTTGTGATGATATTTTAGAGACTATAAGTTCCTTTAGTCAGCCAGTTCAAACTACACCCTGCCACTAAATCTCGATGGTATGTTTCGAGTTTTTCACTTGTCTTTTAGCCTCGAGTCAGCAAGAAGCTCAAGGCACGAGATTTTCGCCTTTGCACTTTGGAGCCTGTTGAGACGAAAGCACCCCTTCCAATACCTGATGTACCGGAACACTTCAACTATGGAATATTCTATGATGATAACTACGACTACATGCAACACATTAAGTCCCGAGATGAATGCGGAACTGGAAAGTGTTACGTGAGCCCTTTTATATAACTATACGCACCTTAACTGATCTACCTCTCTCTTGTTAGCCCGCTACTTCGCCGGAAATATCCTACTTTCCTTTATATTCACCGGCAGCGAGTTCACTAGGGAAAGTATTCAACTCCACGAGTACCACTATTTGATGACTTATGATTTCATGTCCCCGTCTCATATGAGTTTGCTACGACGCCCTCAGGTGCTCATTTCTAATCCACGTTTATTGGTACTCTCATCCGAGTTTTAGGGGACGGGCATGTCTGTCTACGTATCTAATATCCCATGGCTCCCTGTTGATACTAGCTGAACACAAGCCCTTAAGAATTTACGAAGCGTTAAGTTTATTTCGTCAACGGCCAGCTCCTCTACAGTAAAACGCCTCGATGAGCCCGCGCAAAGTTGTATAGGGCATATGCCTTAATAGCTTTTTTTCGAATAATCTTTTCAGCGTATTATTACCCCGGAAGGCAAGCCATCTTCAAGCAACGTCCCCCAAACCGACGTAGTTATACTTGAGCCTGTTGACTATTCTAACTCTACCGACACTTCTTCCGATGATGACGGAGAACTCGAGGAGAACTTCGTAGAACTGGCTGGTGGCCCTAAATTACGGGAGGGAAGTGATGAGCCAGATGCACAATATGACAAGTTCCAGGGCAGACCCGAGCTCCTCTCTATGCAGAAGGTTCTGATGATGGAGAAATTCCTATTTGGCACCAATCAGCAATCAAGCGATTTATCAGAGGAGTGTGCACAGGAACCTTCGCTACCAACACTTTCGAGGAGCGGAAAGCCGATGACGGATGAAGAGCTATACCTACAGCAGGAATTTAGCCAGGTCCGGGAGCCTCTTTTCCTTTATTTTACAACTAAGTATCTCGAATGATTGCAATCATCCTCTATTTTGATGTTCCCACTGCCTATCCAGCTTTTGGTCAAATGCAAGCAGCATTTCGATATATCTGACGTCAATTCATGTGCCTCGAACGCTTCCGTGTATAGCGAAAATCTACATCACGCATTGGAGGCGGATTTCCTCGCGACGGAAGACAGGTTTGTGACCTTTTTAAGAACCTGCTTCACGTTTTCTCTTAAGGCCATCTATATGGGACCAGTTAACCCTATTTCAGAAAAATGAGAAGGGAACTCGATTCGATCCTGGAAGAGGACAAAAATATAATACTAAGTCAAGAGGCACGATTAATGGAGACCGACGATAAGGACGACTCGCTAGAAGAATGGTTGGGAGAGCCAAAAACATTTGCGGCGGATGTAATGTCATTGGCATGTAAGCTATTCTTTATTTCAAGATTATAGTTTTATCTTGACTCTTGCTAGTTTATGGTACCGAATCTTCATCTGCTTAGCTCTATCATGATGCAATTAATATTCTACACACGCAGGTCTGAATGATAAATTAATAAATATATATATATCGTCTCACGATATATTTAGGCCAAATGGCATGGAATCATAGTCTTGTGCTATTCTGAGCAAGCTAGCGGTGACACCAAAGACAAAAAGAAGAAATTGTTGGTTTATTTTGGTTTTTATCTGGACCGTCATACAATGAGCAGTTATCCCAGTGACCACATAGTAAAATGTGGAGGCTGGACTTTTTGGTATCTGTAATCTGTTATTATCATCAAATACCATAAAAAGCGTTCATTTGTTTCCATTCAAGCTTCGAATAAAGGGAATTTGACTCGCTTGCCGAAGAAACTCCTTGTTCCACCTCCCTACAAAACAAGAAAAGGATCAACGACTGGAGAGGACACACTATCCGTAGCAAAACAAGGCAAGCCAGTTCCAACCCCTAGAGAAAGTGCCAGCGCTGACTGTCGCTCAAGAGAAGAGAGTAGTGAAGAGAAAAAGGCAAGAAAGAAGCTCGTGAGGCTTGACAAATTTGATCGTAGACAGATACGGAAAATCAATAAAGAGAATTTTAAATGTGAAATCGTCAGTCTACGTCCAGCATATGGGGCGAAATTTAGACATATTGAATAATCTCTAAAAAAATGTCTTCACATTGTACATATTGCAGAATAGTGTCTTTTCCCAAATGTCTACCAATCAACTAGCATGAGTCGACATGAGATAATTCGCAGGGCAAATCGGGCACTGTTGGACAGAATATTTGTACTTGTCTATTTGTAAATTCATCATTTTTTCATCAGTCATTTACAAAGTATGATGTACGCCTTTTAGTGGTCAGACATTTTCACCGAGTTCTGACTGGCTAGGCCGATGTTGGTGGCCCGTGACTTACGGTTGTTTTGGAGCCCGTGAGGAGTAAAGATATGAAAAACAAAGTAGATAAAATTGGTGGAGACCAAATAGTGTGAAGTCTGAATGGGACAATCATATATGAAGGAAAAAAGCGACGATATTTAGCGATCACTTTATCGAGTGGAATTGAACAACTGGGGGGCGCCTCACCTGCGAGTCAAATACCTGCTAAAAGAGCTGTGGGATTGGAACTAGGCTTATCTGTTACAATTTCTGGGGATATCGTGGGGCACTTAAGTTGAGAGGGGGTCTCGGTCACTGCGAGTTCGGAAACGCCAGCAGTCGTATCAGATGGGGATCCGGATTGGTTCGAGGGCTGAGCTAAGCCGATCAGGCGCTTAAGTCCATTAAAGAGGTCCGCAGGTCGAAGCCCTCTCTCGATTTGCACCGTAGAAATATTTAGGGCAGGGGGACACGTTTCTAAATTTAGATAGACGGGAAGAATCGAGGCAAGGTGAGTGAAAGCCTCAAACGACGCCAAACGGGTTGAACTGGGAGGATTCTGTGGGTCGTTGATAAGTAGACAGAAGTACGCACCTAGCTGGCGGCTGACAAAGGTGTGAAGGTAAAATAGAATAGTGATAGATTAGCAACTATTTAATTTGGGAGATAAAATAAATAGGGGTTTAATTCGATGAAGGGCAAATATTTGAAAACTTTTACCATTCACAATGCTTTTGAGAGTTAGCTTTGTTTCCCACAGCTAAGTAGGCGTGGGCCTCACCAGCATACCCAATTCAAGTCTGGCCCGCAGTGGTAACATGTAAATACTATACTGGCCGGTCTTAATTCCTGCTAGATCATAATGGATGACAAGATGAGAAATTGTGGGAAAAATTCAACACATCATGTGCAATCCAGGGTGAATGGAACTCTTATCAAAGATTGAATGCTAATATGCAAATAGTTGTGGAGGTGTAGCAATGGGAAAAATTAGAATTAATCACGCAGCGCAGATTGAAACGAATGAGTTAAAACAATTTTGAAAAAACGGGGAGCCTTCATATGATTTCGCCAGCATATAAGTCATAATAAGCTCTGTGATTTTAAAATATCCTTCGCCCCTAATGTAAGGAACTTTTAACCTTGAATAGTAAAAGTGCTAAATTTGCCTGGAAGATGTCGCCAATTAATTATTGACCAAGAAGCATTTTGTGAGTGAAACAAGCAATACAAGGCTCACAAGTTAGAGGGGTCATTCGGCTTCGAAACTCTAGCACACGCGTCCAGTAGGCAGAAGATAAGTGAAATTCCAAGCTGAAATAAAAAGCAGAAAAAGCAATATAAAAATAAACTGTTGCGCCCACAGATTTTATTCGCTTTATGGCCAAAATCAAGCAATATTGACCTGGCAAAGTTACATCTTGGTTTTCATACAATAATGACCAAATTGGATAAACAATTTTAATATCCAGAATTGATAGGACGATTAAAAAATCACACCATCCAGAAACATTGGCGGACTGTATTAGTGGATCAGAATAACTATAAACTAATATGGAGTTAAGACTAATGACTAACGCTAGCGACATTGCACTGCTGAGTAGATATTACACTTAACTGAGCCCAGCACAATGCGGTCGGTTCTAGACTTGACTAGTATCGTCGCAGTGAACCTATTTGCTAAAATCTCTTAAGGTGGCTCAGGAATTTAGTGAGTGATGATTAGATATTGGATGGAATCCAATAAGTCTCTTAATGATACAGCATCACGGATGAGTCGCAGAAACACTCGTTTGGCCACTCAATTGTTGTCATAAAGAATATCACGTTCCGCTGCTGTCACGAAAAGATGGAAGGTCGGAATCACAGGATTTTTGCACACAAATAAAAAATGCCAAGACGAAACACCATTCATCAATTAATCTATAAATCTGTGACGCAAGATAAACTGCGCAAAAAGCAGTACGAACGAAGGGCATATTGGTAAACATTTCATTAAAATTAAGTGTGAGGTGGTCAGGGCCCCAGGGGCCGGGTAACGAAGAAAGCTGGAAACGAATATTAACAAAGCTTGCGCCGACTGAAGAGGCAACAAGACAGAGTTGAAGCACATTGAACCAGTCATTGTTCAGGACTATAGCTGGGCTGACGTTAAAACTGACGAGTTTGATGTAGCTGGCAAAGTGTACATTTAAAAGTACTAAAGGATAATGGCAGAAGTAGTAAGTGCTGTAATCGTAGAGGGATATTAAACAATGATTAGATTCGCAAACTTAATGGTGCAGACAAATTTATACGAGCATTAATGAGAAATGCAAAAAAACTATAAAGGCCGATAAAAGT